GTCAGCAGCCCTCAGGAGGCTCACCGAGCAGTCCAACCAGCCACAGTGGTTCCCTGTCAGCCCACTAGCAGTCACCCAGCTCTTACCATACTGGGTCCTCAGGTCCCTGTGGTCAGGCCAGCCAGCCCCCTTTGGATCGATGAGTTCCTCAAACACGTGGCCTCGCTCCTGGGGTCTCCAGACCCCACTGCTAATGTCTGCTGGGGTTTCAGCTCTTAGCCCGGTTCGCCAGGCCATCTGAGGTTTCAGACTCTGGCAGCCAGTCACTAAAGAAAAAGAAACGGGAGTGGGAAAAAGGACTTCAGGGCTGAGTGCTGAGGGTTCTTCTTGCTGGTCCTAATTTACTCTTGAAATAGGCCATTCCTGTCAAGCCTAGGGGCCTTCTCTGCCTTCGGCAGTGAGTTTCAGTGGGGGCGATTTTGCCCCCAGAGGACATCTGGCAAAGTCTACAGACATTTTTGGTTCTTACAACCGAGGGGGTGCTAGTGGCATGTAGTTGGTAGAGGCCAGGGATGCTGCAGGTCACCGGCCATGCACAGGACAGTCACCACAGCATGGCACTCCCTGACCCTAGCTGTCACCAGTGCAGAGGCTGGTACACCGCAACTGAGTAGGCCATAGTGGCCGTTCTGAAACCCCTTCCCCGGGTGTGTCCCCCCGCCCCCTTCGGTTCAGTCTTCCCCTTGCAAGGATCCAGCATCAGATGTGTGTCCCCCCCTGGTGAGTGTAACCTCACCCTTGACCCTGACCCTGATCCTGGCACTGCCAACTTGATGGTCTTTGCCTTTTCTCTAAACTCAGGCCTTTCCTCCTAAGTAATGACCATACAAACCTCCATCCCCCTTGCCCATCTCCCCTTCAACTCTGCCATGTCTAAACCAAGCTGGCCGTGCTACCAGGCAAGCCCCTAGCCCCGCCCTGACCTCCCTCTCCCAGTGTCCCGTCCCGAGGGGCCAAACTTTGGCGCCTCTACCTTTAGGGCCTTTCTGGCCCACAAGTTGCTAGAGGGTCCTTTGGGACCCTTCCAGAGTCCCTTCCTTCAGTCTGTTGGGGTCTCTTCAAGGTCATGCCCAGCCAGGCCTCTTCTGTACAGAGCACATGCCCCCCTTCCTTTGTTCTCATGAGACCACCCTGCAGCCCGCCTACCTCTCCTGAAACCTGGCTCAGAGCCACACTTGTAGGACAAACACCTCTGCCTTTCTTACCAAAACAGCCTCAGATGTGCTTGCCCTGGGTCTCGAACCTTCAGAGCAGCTCGGTTCACTATTCCTGCCTTTTCTCCCTCTGGTCTCCAAGAGCCAGCCCAGGGCCTGTCTGCTTCCCCATCCTGTCCTGTGTTCCTGCCAGTGGACCCTTTGTCAGTGGGGGGAGACCTTCCCCACCTGCTCCATTCACGGTCAAGGCCCTCCCCGGCTAGGGCAGGCTGAAACGCCATTTCTCCATCAAGGGTCTGGGAGTCTCCCGTCTTCATCTTTGTCCTGTCTGCTCCCTAGGATGGGAGGCTACGCCCTCGGTGCACGTGCTCCCTGATAAAGCACCATGTTGAACAAAGGCGTCCCGCGGGCCATGAACGTGCTGGACAGAGGGCCTGTACCATCCCTTGATGGGCAGTGCTCTGGGGGTGAGCTTGAGGGGCCCCCAGCGTCCTTTCCCAACGCCCACTGACCTCACGCTCCCGCAGGGCTCAGCATCCCCGGGGCCTGGCCTGATCTTCCTGGGCCGCTGGTCTACAGGGCAGAACGCCCTCTTCAGGGGTGCCTACACTGCAGGCCTTGGCAGTCTCTACTCGCCTCGCCCCAGCGCGGCCACCTCTCTGGGCAGGTTAGCAAGTCGCCATCGTTGGCCCCTGCCGGCCCGCCACCTCCCTGCGTGACCTGCGCGATCGGGGAGAGTGACCCCACGGCGCGCGGTCCTCGTGGCTTGCTGGGCCTGACCACCATACACCGCCATCCAACCGCATCCAACCAACCCAGCGGCACAACCTCTTCGGGTGTTCCAACGCGGCGCCCCCTATTGGACCTCCCACCCACATCCGGTTTCCGGTTGGGCGCCCCCTGCTCATTCGCCAGGCAGGCTTGATTGGCGTGACCCCAGCCCAATGGCTGACCTGCCACTGGGGTCGGAGGGGGGGGAATTGGAGATGGGGACCCTGTTGCCCACTCTGGGCACTCAATTGCTTGAGCCTTGGCTCATGGGGGTAGTTGGGCAAAGTTTGAACCAAGTTCAGTGTCGGTATCTGGAGGCATGTATATCCTTAGTGGGGTGACACTCCGTGGAGGGCCCCAAATGTGGCTCGGGATCCGACTTTGTAAGCTTTCCTCCGCGCGGCGTGGCCACGTGGACGGTGGATGCTGAGCTGTGCCGCCCGGCTTCTGAGAGGGACGCGCTGGACCCACTGGGATCCACCGTGCCGTGCTCGCCCGCCTCACTCCTTTGCACTCCGCTCACCCAGCACAACGCTTAACCAGCCCCCTGCCCCGCCGTTCCGCTGCCACCTACCTCCTGCCCAGCTGCTCTGTACCTAAGAGGGACTCATCAGTCCGTGTCGCCCACAGGCGAAAATGACCCAATGCGTGCCTGTGGGCTTTACGTGACCCTAAATCAGTTTTTTCTCCAGTGCTCAGATTCCCCCCCCCACACACACACACACCCGCAGACCACAGACCGGGAGCGGTGCATAGGCGGTGTGTGTGGGGGGAGGGGGGAGGTCATCCACCACTAGCCCGGAGCCTACCGTGGCACGCACCTATTGGACCTCCCACCCTCATCCGGTTTCCGGTTGGGCGCCCCCTGCTCATTCGCCAGGCAGGCTTGATTGGCGTGACCCCAGCCCAATGGCTGACCTGCCACTGGGGTCGGAGGGGAGTGAATTGGAGATGGGGACCCTGTTGCCCACTCTGGGCACTCAATTGCTTGAGCCTTGGCTCATGGGGGTAGTTGGGCAAAGTTTGAACCAAGTTCAGTGTCGGTATCTGGAGGCATGTATATCCTTAGTGGGGTGACACTCCGTGGAGGGCCCCAAATGTGGCTCGGGATCCGACTTTGTAAGCTTTCCTCCGCGCGGCGTGGCCACGTGGACGGTGGATGCTGAGCTGTGCCGCCCGGCTTCTGAGAGGGACGCGCTGGACCCCACGGGCGGAGAGGGACGCGCTGGACCCACTGGGATCCACCGTGCCGTGCTCGCCCGCCTCACTCCTTTGCACTCCGCTCACCCAGCACAACGCTTAACCAGCCCCCTGCCCCGCCGTTCCGCTGCCACCTACCTCCTGCCCAGCTGCTCTGTACCTAAGAGGGACTCATCAGTCCGTGTCGCCCACAGGCGAAAATGACCCAATGCGTGCCTGTGGGCTTTACGTGACCCTAAATCAGTTTTTTCTCCAGTGCTCAGATTCCCCCCCCCACACACACACACACCCGCAGACCACAGACCGGGAGCGGTGCATAGGCGGTGTGTGTGGGGGGAGGGGGGAGGTCATCCACCACTAGCCCGGAGCCTACCGTGGCACGGCAACGCAAGCACGGCAAGCGGCTGGGTGACACGGGGCTTACGGTCGGGCTTGGTGCCGCCTGCGTGCGCTCTGGCAGTGGAAGAGTAAAACGGCTGCTCTAGGATACTCGTAGCGAGAGGAGAGGCTGGAGTGGATTAGCAGAGCTGGCTGGCGGATCCTGCAGCCGGCACCCAAGGCTGGGAGCGGCGCGGCACAGTATTTGTGGGTTCAGTGCGCACGGGATTATCCAGTTTCGGAAACCAATTCAAACCGGCAAAAACCTCATCTGAAAACCCCTCTAACCCTTCCCCGTAATGGTAAGACCCTCGGAATTATGAGGCCTGCACTTAGTGGGGTCCCCCGTGTGCTCCTGCTTTCCTGTGCGCGCCGGCGGTACTGCCTGGGGGGTTCTGCTCCGCGGTCCGCACAGGAGACCCTCTTATTCCCTTTGCATCGCCATCCACATAAATTGGGGATCATCCTGCCTGCGCCGCCCTAGGCCACTGCAGAGGCCCCAAAAACGCAATGGGGATGGGATTCACTGAAGTACTTTACCAAAGCAAACCTTGGCAACCCATAAACGAAAACTGCAGAAGCAGCGGAAAGTGCCCCAAGGCATTTTAATCACAAATAATGTGCTCCTACGTGTCAACTGCTGGTCATACTCCTCTCCTCCCCTCCGGTGGGCTCACGACCACCTGTCGCATCTCGGAGCCCCCTTCCTAGGCACGCAAACCTGAGCGTTCTGGGCCTGCAGCTCAAACTTAGGGGCAGCTTGGGCTGGGGGCTGTAGCTCGGGTTCGTCGGTATCTCAGGGTGATGAAACCCTCCTGCAGTCCCCCCACCACCACTAGAGTCAGTAGAGTGCGGGAGAGAGGATTTCAGCTCCTGTACTCCAACATCCTAAGGCCCACGTCTTGCGTCTCGTGTCCCGCAACGCAGGAGAGCTTTCTCTAGCCAGGGGAGAAGCGAAGAAGACGACTCCAGATCCATCTGGGAGAGCAGTGGAAGGAGCCAAAACATCCCCGCGAGGTCTGCGTTCTTCAACCCCCTTACCCAAAGTCCGGAGGCAGGAGCCAGGAGGCAGGAGCCAGGAGCCGGTGCGGCTCAGCACTGGGACTGGCGTCCTCTGGTGGCAGAGAGAGAGATCTACCAGCGATTTTTCGCACCGAATCGGCACGCTCTTCATCTAAGCAGGAGGGTGGGCTGGCCTGGAACAGAGAGAGAGAGGGAGGGAGAGAAGGAGAAAGGGCAGGCCAAGAGGGGTACATGGCAGCCTGAGGGGATTAAAAAGTGGTCAGGAAGAAGCCAAGACTCCACTGGCAACAACTGAGTTGCTTCTGCCACAGTTAAGGGCTCCAAGCTTTGAACATCCCAACCTCACAAAGGTGGGAAAGAGGCTGGAGAAATTCCTGGATATTACTTTGATTTTTTTATATATATATTTTTTTCACCCTAGTTTGGTTGGGTGCTCCATTTTTCGGGGCCCCGAGTTTATTTTAAGAGGCCGCCACCGTGCTATGGGCATGCGCAACTGCCTCAACGGCAATAATATGTCAGGACAACGCGATATCCCCACTGAACCCGGGGAACAGCCCCAGCAACCATCTTTGGAGGCCCCAGGGTCAGCTGCCCCCAGTACTGGGCCTAGCTCAGCCAAGGAGATGGAGACCAAACCGTCTCACCACGATGAGCCCTTCCACATCGAGACTGACCAGAAGGCCTGTATACCCCCAAGGGTCTCCAGGCCCAACTTCCAGGGCCTCAACCCAGCACTGGAGGAAGCCGGGATCTGTGGAGGCTTCAGTCCACCTCCTGAGGAATTCATGCCCTTGGCGGCTAAGCAACCCAACTTGGGAGGCTTCTGGCCTACCCTGGAGCACCCTGAGCCCCCCACTGGGGCCTACGAGGGCCTCCAGGCCTTGGGTCCAGCCATCATGGAGCCCAGAGCCTTCTGTGGTGTCAGACCAAGCCTGGGAGGCTGCAGCCCTCCACCAGAAGAAGCCCAGGGAGGCTGCAGCCAACCTCTCCTGCAGGTTCCAGACCTCGCTCCAGGCAGCCCAGGTACAGGGGTTCCCGGAGCTTCACGGCAAGAACCCAGAGTCCTCAGGCCTGCAAGCACTGGTTTCAAAGAGAGCTACAGCCCTTCCCCTGAGGAAGCTATGCCATTTGAACGTGATGGAGAAGCCTTTGGGGACGACAGCCCACTCCCAGGGCTCCGGCGAGTTATCCCACAGGTCTATGGTGGCAGCCAGTTCCAGGCAGCCTCGGTCCCGAGTACGGTCTGCCTCACTCCCTCCCCGAACGCGCCTCCCCTCCGGATCCCCGGCGCCATCAGCAGCCCATCTCGAGAGCCTCTCAGACCTCCCCCTAACTTCATGGGTGACAGCCCCCCGATGGAGATCTCCGGACCCCGGCTCAAGATTGGCAGCGCTCCCACTGGGGTCGACGACGCTCCCGTCAACATGGACAGCCCCCCAATCGCGCTTGATGGCCCGCCCCTTGAGGTCTCCGGAGCCCCAGATAAGAAGGAGCGAGCAGAGAGACCCCCAGTTGAGGGAGAAGCAGCAGAGATGGAAGGAATGTCAGCAGCCAGCGACACCGAGGGAGGAAAAGTCTCCTTTCCTGGGGATGGATCCCCCGTCGCCGGGGCAGCTCCTGCTGCCCCAGC